ATATGGCGTGACCTAAACCCATATTCATATGGGATTAGGTTTGCAAGGTTGCATGCCAGTCTGAAAGCGAGGTAAGCAAGCCTTCCTTGCTTATAAATTGGTGTGCAGCCTCAAACTCCAATTAGGACCCATCCCTGGGTCCTATGGGATATGGCACAACCTTAACCCATATTAATATGGGTTTAGGTTTGCAGGTTGGCGTGCAAGGCTGCATGCCAGCCTGCAAGCAAGCCTGCCTCGCTTATATGTTGGTGTGCAGCCTCACACTCCAAACAAAATTGTAGAGAGAGGGATTCGAGCCTGCTGGAAGGGACTTCCCCTGCAGATCTTTGGAGTGTGGAACCGCACTCCAATTTCAACTAGAGTGTGCAAAGGGGTGGGGGGGGGGGGGGGTATCACTCCCCCATGTGCCCCGGGTCCCTCTCTCCTGCTCATCTTTTATGCTTCTACTCTCGATCCTTGCGGATGACCTGAAACATGCTGCGGTGCACTCAAACCTTGCGGACAACCTGAAACACGAAACATTGTGGAAGACAGCAGAGGTCAAGAAACCCCTTCAGAAGTCGGCAAATGTCATGATGGGTGATTCTGAAACATCCTCCATGGAACATGCCCCTAGCCATAAGGGGCATGGACATGGTCCCAAGGCAACTCCGTCTGCCCCTTGCACTCCCAAGACGGCATCAAGGCACCATAATCACCCCTGTCCGTCGCAATGCCAAGTTGGCCCCACCCAGACCAATCGTTCTCCTGGAGGCTCTCCCGGCCTTGGCGTCATATTAGCCTCCAGGGGAGGATGCCACTGGGACCAACCCAAAACCCAGGCACCGCAGCAGCACCATTTCAAATAGGCAAGAGTGCGCCCTTGATAGCCTGTATACTGCGCCACCATGGCTCTTGACGCCCAAGCGCAGTGCATGGTGCTTTCCGGAGCAAGGCGTAGGTGGGCGTGGTCCACGACACCGCAGTCCTTCCTGATATGAAGGACACATGACTTGGCTAGCTGTGTGGACAATAGCGCCTCTTGACCTCATGGCCGGAGATAAGAGGAGCAGGACACATGTCCTTCTCCCTCTCAAGGTCTTGATGAACTCAAGCTCAGCTTGGGTCTTGACTCCCTCCTTTCACCCAGGATCTTTTGTCCTTCTCCCGCTGAATATTCCCTTCATCCAATCCACTCAATCCAGAGATCTAAATCCGTAACCCTACACACCCTTTCACCAAAAAACGTTTCTCTCACCACCCACCCACCCATGAAACAGTAAGAGAGGAGTTGGGTCTAGCTTTGGCTCTTGTGAGCCTGGGTCTCTATAGTGACAGCAGGACACAAGGTATGGGGGGCACTTTTATATTTATTTCTTAAGAGAAGAGGGATACAAATAAAAGTAGAAGAAAGGGAAGAAGAAGAGTGAAAGAATTAAATGATATTTTGTTTTTTATTTATTTTAAGATGATGATTAAAGTTCTGGCAGTCTTACTGTCCCATTTTGGATGGCTGCTGACAGTCTTACTTTCCTTAGTAGGATGGCTGTTATAAGTGGAGCTAACTCTGACGTCTCCAAATCAACAGAAACTGACATGGGTTATTGATACTGATGAATCAGTTCAACCACAATTTTTTAGATCAAAGATCAAGGCTCTTTAAAGGGAAACCTATGTATTTTTCAGTTGTACTACCAAACAGGATGAGTTGAGATAATAGCAGCTATGACTTGCTTTTCTTTGATCAGGGCTTTTCGTTTGGTGAAAAAAGAAGAGAAGTTGAGAGAGACATAGAAAGAGAACAAGTAGAAAGATTCTAGCCAAAACTTATAAGAAGTTACTTACTAATGACACCAATGACACTGTGCAGTGGGAAAGGTGGGAAAAGTGGAGTACTTCTGTTTGATAAGTGTTTGCTGGATCTGGTTCTGGTTGTTGTGGTTCTGTGTAGGTCTGGAGTCTGAAGATCCTGAAAATGTGAACTCAGTATCCTCTGAGAGAATTTTCAGAGTTGGATTACATAATCACAACACGTACATGTGGTAGAGGGTTGGAATTCCAACTTGGTTGATATTTCACAAGGTACAGTGAAATATTACAAAGTCTATGAAGGAGAAGAGTAGTGTGAAAGTGGGTAGTGGTGACTAACGGTTGAAATCACATGAGGAATTCATTTCTGAATTCAGAATGTAATAAAATATGAGATCAAAGGCTACAGTAGGAATATGGCTAAAAAGAGGACTTCAGCCTCTAATGCTGACAGCTCTACTCCACCAGTGGTGGCCTCTGCTCCAAGGTGATTTTAAACGCTCTCAAGTGTTCTCCGTTGGCATGGCTGCTCCTGTCTCTTCAGTAGAGATGGTCACGGATATCTGCTATCCGCAGGTGGATACCCGCCCAGCGGGTGCGGATGTCCTTTTCCGCCCAAAATCCTGGCGGATATCCGGGTATCCCAAGGGATACCCGGTCATATATAGGCCTGTGGCCGCGGCTGTGGGCTGAGTAGCGCAGCCCACAGCTGCGGCCCCACTTGGCTGCTGGACCCTGGGATATACCCATGTCTTTGTTGGCGGCCAATACACAGCCCGCCTGATTGTCAACCTTGTTGGCGGCCGATACACCTCCCTTCATCCCTCCCTTTCCAAACCAACAACACCCACCG